CTGCCCCACTCGGGAGTGGCATGCCCCATGCCAGAGCCCTGGGAATACGGATGGGGAGGGCTGGGTGCCCGGACTCCTGGGTTCTATTTCTGGCTTTTTGGAGGGGAGTGTGGCCCCCGTGGTTAGAGCAGGGGACTGGGCACCAGGACTCCTGGGTTCCATGCCCATCTCTTTCACTGACCTGCTGTGTGATACTGGGCCAGTCGCATCCCCCGCTCTGGGCCTCAGTTTCCCTACCTGTAAAACGGTTGGTCCCTGCCTCCCAGTGAGTTCGATTCATTGTGTAAAGCGCTTTGAAATTCTTGGTGAGACGGGGCCAGAGAAGGACGAAGGGTTATTAACAGAGACACTGCTCCCACCTGCTCGGCTGGGTTTAGAAAGGAATCTGATAAACACCCTCTTGGCAGCAGCCTGATGGCTAAGGACCCCCACCCCAGTGCCAGACCCACAGTGGGCAAGGCCTGGGGAGGGGGGCAACCCCCCTGCTGCGGGGTGGAGACGTGAGATGGGCTCTCCCCATGCCAGGGAAGGCAGAGGGGCTGGCGGCTCAGATTCGCACAGCCCTCGGTTCTGCTGCGCCTGGCGCACAACAAACAGTGTAGCGTCAGCTGGATATAAATCTTCCAGCGCTTAATCAATTTGCTATGCACATCATTAGACCAGGGCGGTTCCGGGGACGTGGCCGGGGGAGGGGAGGGAAAGGGGCTCTGGCAGGGGATTGTTTGCAAAGGGGTCCTGCAGGGATGGAGGGTGCCAGCTGGGGGGAAAGAAAGAAAGAAAGATGAATGGAGGAGAGAGACGAGAGAGGAAGAAGAGACAATGAGGGAAAGGAAAGAGAGAAAGAATGACACAGACAGAAAAGAGAAGGTGAAAGAAAAGAATGAAGAAGAGAGTCGGGGAAGGCAGCCAGCCAGCGGGCCCAAGGCGTGGGGTGCCTGCTGGCACCTGGCGTGGGTTCTGGATTCCTGCCGCCCTGCCCTGCCTGATGACCGAGCTGGGCAGAGAGCGCCGGCGGGGCGTAGAATAACAGACCGGGCGCGGGGCTGATGCCATTCGACGATTACTGCACAGGCCATCGGCCATGAGAAAGGGGATTACAGCCGAAAAGGCTGGATCTGTCGAACTCGGCAAAAAACACCTGTCAGCCCTCGTGCCATGGATGGGGGGCGGGGGGGGAGGGGCTGGGCACAGGCGGCGGGGAGGGAAAGGTGGGTGGAGTGGGCACCGCAGCACAGAGATGGGGGGCTGACTCCAACCTCCGCTCGCCCCCCCCACCCACCCACCCACACAGCTTCTACCTTTCTCCATCCAATTCGCTTGGCGCTGAAATGTCTTAGCCTGGGGCTCGGCCTCCGGGGACTGTGGGGCACAGAGGAGCTCCTCTCAGGGGGTTTCCTGGGCACTCCTCACCCCCCCATATCAGCTGCTGCTAGTGCTTTGAGTGGGGGGTGGGGGAAGCTGGGGGTCAGGACTCCTGAGTTCCATCTCTGGGTCTGGGAGGGACGTGGGGCCTAGGGGTCGGCGTTTCAGAAAGAGGGCCAGTGGCTGGGGTTACAGCTGCTGGCTGCCACCCAGAGGTGGTCACTGATTTAACAGACGATCCCCCAGGGTTCCCAGCAGTGACCGGACGAACCAGTTTGAATGAGATGAGAAGTGACCCCAGGGCCCCGGCTCAGAACCGAGAGATCAGATTCCTCAGATAGGAATGGGACCCAAGCCCGTCGCCTCCCCAGATCAGAACTAGCCCTGCCCGCCCGGATCAGATTCAGCCCCTGGTCCCCTCTGGATCAGAACTGCTTCCTGACACACACCCCCTGGATTGGGACCAGCCCTTGGCTTCCCCCAGATCAGAACTGGTGCCTGGTCCCCCCAGATTAGAACCGCCCCCAGACCCTCTCTGGATCAGAATCGTCTCCAACTCAAAGCAAATTGTTTCCCAAAGTTTGACACTGTGCTTAATTCCCATCCAGCCCTGCTGGAGCTGCCCCCGAGACCTGCGAAGTGTCAAGGTCCTGCCCCCCTCCCCCTCCGCCCGTGCCCCCTCTCCCACACTCCTGCTGAGAACACAAGCGAAAGGAAGTGAGCAAACTCAGAGCAAGAGAGTCAGGGGCTGAGGCAGGAAATGAGAATGTCCCAGCTCCCTGCTGGGACCCCAGCCCCTAGCATGGGGAGCCCTCCACCCCCTTTCTCAGCACAACGGCCTCCCTGGAGAGAAGTTTTCCAGCTAATTGGCTTCCAAAGTGCCCTGGACGCGGTGATTTAAGAGACAGAAAGCCCTTTCCCTGCAGACATGTTCACAGCCAGCAAGGCACACGCAGTCCGTGCTCGCATGAAACACACACACAGATCCATGCGGTACATGCAGGGAGGAGCCCGTGGACACAGCCAGGGACACACACACAAAGCATATGTGTAGGTCCGTCCAGGCACCATCCTTGCCCCACATGTTCACAGGCCACACACAGACACATGCAATCGCTTCCGCACACGCCAGCCCCCGAACTGCTGCCGTGCTCAACAGGACACGCACGAGCCCGCCCCCTGCCCAAACCTCAGGCCCGGGTTACGCTCCAGAGCAGCTTCGAAACGAGCTCTGAGAACCAGGGCCGGCTCTAGGCACCAGCAAAGCAAGCAGTTGCTTGGGGCGGCAAATTTGCAGGGGCGGCAGGGATCCAGCGTGAGAGCTGAGAACCAACAGGGGGGCCTGGGAGCTGTAGTTCCTTGGTTAGCTCCCTGCCTATAGAGCCAGCCCTGGAGCAGGGAAAGAACTACATTTCCCAGCATTCCCTCGGCTGCAATTTAACAGGAAAGGGAGGGGGACGGAGTGTGGAACTGACACCTCATGTTGCAGCCTGCTGTGAGTAGGGACAGAGCCAGCTCTAGGGTTTTTGCCGCCCCCCACCCCAGCCCTGGCTCCCCACCTGCACTCCCGTGTTGCCCCAGCCCTAGACTCTCCCCTGCCCACACCCCCTGCTGCCCCAGCTCTGGCCCCCATCTGCACCCTCCTGCTGCCCCAGTCCTGGGCTCTCCCCGCACCTCCTGCCGCCCCAGCTCTGGCCCCCATCCGCATCTCCTGCCGCCCCAGCTCTGGCCCCCATCCGCATCTCCTGCTGCCCCAGCCCCTCGGG